GAGGTAGACAAGGCTTTTTATCCTGACTTAAAATCAAGAAGCCATAAAAAAGAAAAAAGAAAAAAAAATGGCTTCCTCACCTCCTGAAAAAGGAATCCCTATTCCATGGCAAAACAACTAGAAACAAAGTCCTAACAAACATATACTTGTAACTCTTCTAGCAGCAAAGAGCTAATGTCATATGGCTAATATATGACAAGCTCCTACAAATCAGGAGGAAAGACCAAAACCTCAATAGCAAATAGGGTAAAAGATTCAGACACTCCATAGAGAAATAAATCATGAATATAACAATGGCTCGCTCTTATGGAAAGGTGCTCAAGCTCCTGGTAAGAAAAATGCAAATTAAAGCTATCCTGAAAATTATCTATTTTTCACCTATGATTGGCAAAAGCCCCACCGTAAGACAATGTGTGTCTGTCTGTTGTGGGGCGGTGGGTACTCTTCCCCAGGTGGTCCCTGGTAAAGCTCTGCTGGGGGCGATTTGCCACCACCCAGCTCCTGCTTCTGAGTTTACCTGACACCCTTGCACAATGCACAGCACAGTGCAATACAGGGCCTGGGCCAGGCTGTCCGCTGTAGGTTGTTCGCAAGAGCAAAAGCTTGGAAACAACCCAAACGTTCTGAGGACTGGTTCAATAAAGAATGGCCCATCCATAAAACAGAATACAATGGAGAAAGAATGAGGAAGCTCTCTCTGTGCAGAAGTGGAAAGATCGCAAAGATATAGGAAGTGAAAAAGCAAAATAGAGAACACTATGTATTCTACCTCTCCTTTCAGCAAAAATAAAAAAACAAAAGTGGGGAGATAATATGTATCTGTGTTTGGTCCGATCTACATAAAGAAACACTGAAAAGAAACATGAAAACCAGTGAGGACCCATCCCGGCTGGGGGTGGGGTAGGGTGTGCATCTCACTGGATACTATGTTATGTGCTGTAAGTTTTTTTCTACACCTTTGTTGAGCTATAATTCACATACTATATAACTGCTCTTTAAAGTGTACAATTCAGTATATTCACAAGGTTGTACAACCATCACCACAATCAATTTTAGAACATTTTCGTCATCTCCAAATACCCGCAACTCCCCCAGATCCCCCAGCTCTAGGCAACCCCTAATTTACTTCCTGTCTGTAGGGATATGTCTGTTCTGGACATTTCATAGAAATGGAATCATACAATACATGATCTTTTATGACTGGCTTCTTTCACCGAACATGTTTTTGTGTGTTTTCATTTTTGAGCCACATAAAATAAAATTTAAATTAAAAAAAATAGATGACTAAATCCAGTGAGCAGATAAAGTGCTTTGAAAACTGTAAAGTGCTTCTGACACATCAATGCTCATCACTGGGGAGAGAGCCACACAGGCTCCGGGGAGACAGTGGAGATGTAGCAGGGATGGGCTGGGGCTCACTACAGTCCTCTGGACATGCCCTCTCTCCCCATCAGAGGTTAAGGGTGTGGGTTCCAGAGCCCAAATCCTGATTCTGCCACCTCCTAACCAGGGGACCTTGGCAAGTCACTTTACCCCTCTGAGCCCTAGGAACCCCATCTGTAGACCAGGGGATGACACTACCTAGCCTGTTAGGTTGTTTTGAGGCATCAACAGACCCAGCAATGTGCCTAGTGCACAGTGAAGTGCTCAAGGAACATTAGATGAGCCTGAGGTGTCCTAACGGGGTACAGGCCAGTGGGAGGAAAGACAGAGGGAATAAGCACGTGGCAGAGAAAGGAGAGCCTCCTCGGAGGGAAGGCTGCAAGGGTTCCTGGTGCCTGAGCAGGGCTGTGTGGTCACAGCACGTGCAAAGACCCGACGGGAGGGGGTGCAGTGAACCCTGAGCGGTAGCTGAAGACAACACTGGAAGAGGAGAGCAGGAGAGAGAGGAAGGGTCTCAAATGCTGAGCGGAGACCCTGGCCTTTCGCCTGAGACTCCAGGGGCCAGGTACAGATGTCTGATTACAGCGTTCCTCAGCCTCTACATTACTGACAGTCTTTGTGGGGGGCTGTCCTGAGCACCGTAGGGTACGCTGCAGCATCCCTGACCTCTACACACTAGCTGCCAGTAGGACCCACTTCCCTGAGTTGAAACCACCAAAAATGTCTCCAGATCGTATCCAACGTTCCCTGAGGGACAAAATCCCCTCCTCCTCTCCTTGAGACCCACTAGCGCAAGGACTGGAGAGGACTAGAAGGGGAGAGTTTGACTCAAGGCTGCTGCCACAACAAGACAAGAGCTGATGGTGGCCCCTCCACCCAGGCAGGGGCAGGGCCTTCAGCACTTTCAATTCTGCAAATGTGTACAGGAAGGAGAGGCTGGGGAGAGCGCCCTTCCCCGAGATGGGGAGGTGGGGGGTAGAAGGATCCCTTTATACCCCTGAACTCTTCTTACACCATCCTGCAAGTACCACTATTTATATCTTTATTCTACACATGTGGAAACCGAGACACCAAAGGTCAGTGACTAAGTGCCACATAACTTCCCTGGGACAAGGACCAACACTGTTAGGCAAAGTCTTCCGACCCCCACCAAGTGCTGGAACGCTGTCACAGCTACCTCCCTGAATGGGGTCCCATCACCATCAGACCCCTTCGATGTCTCTGAAGTCTACTGGGAAGCTGCCAGTCTTTTCTCTGATCTCCCTTAATTCTCACAACTGCTGAGCTGAGGCTCAGAGAGGTTAAGTAACTGGCCCGAGATCACACAGCACTGGTTGGGGCAAAGCCAGGACTCGAAACCCAGCCCCAACGCCCCTGCTTTTTTTGCTATTCCAATTCCTTAGCGTCTCATTCATTCAGGCAACAGACGTATATCAAGCCCCGGGACCAGCTGAGGCAGCCTTGCCTAGAGGAGCTTGGCTCACCTTATGTGGGAGGAACCATGGCTAACCGTGACTAAGTAGAAAGTGCCAGGGCAGGGGCGGCAGAGGCGGCCCATCAGTTAGATGCAGTGGCCCTGTGCAGGGATGGGCCAGCCTGAAAAACAAACTTGCACACAGAGAAGGGCTCGGACCTGGCCAGCCCCAGACAGTCTGGGACCTGAGCAGTTCTAGGTGGGGAGGAGGATGACCAGCTTTATATTGGGGCTTGCTTGGACACCCACACAGACACATGGACACAATCGGGGACCTGGCTGGGCTGGAGGCAGGGGATGAAGTACCCCACAACCACCTGGTGGGGAGCACCGCTCCCTCCCCATTTAGAACCAAGAGGTCTGGAGAGGTCCCAAGGACACATGGCCAGTGGTTGGCAGAGTGGGCACAGGACTGGGCCAGCTCTGGACCCCATGCAGCCAATCTGAGGCCCTAACAAAACTGGGCCCACTCTCTTGGTGTCCCCTTATGATGCCGCTGGGAGCGGGAGGAGGGACCCAAAGAGGAGCTGTGGACCTCACAGTCACGATGTGCTTTCAGTCAATCCTGGAAAGCAGGGCCTGGAGGCCACACCCAGTCCCACCTGCAGAGGCCATCTGGAGTCAGGCCCTGGCACTGGCACGGGCGACAAGAACGTGGCCAGAGCTTTGAACAAAGGGAACCAGCGAGGCCAGCCAGGGAGGCCCTATAATCATCACTGTCGCCACGCCAGCAAGACAGGGCCCAGGGGAGTATGCAGGACACTGTGTCAGGCCAGGGTCCCCAAGGCCCACGCACCTGACGAAGGCTGGATAGCCGGGGGAGAACTGGCTCCCTCCCCCACAAGAGGACCTAGAGCCTTTGACAGTGGCAAATCCCAGCTAAGACAGAGGGTTGGGAGAACACAATGTAAAAGCATCACTGCCGGGCTGAGCGAGTGTTTTGCACACCGTGAACTCATTACTTCTCATCACTGTGGAGGCCTCACGCTCCTATTGTACAGAAGAGAGAGCCAAGGCTGGCAGAGGTCATCCCTTGCCTCAAGGACACAGATCTAGTAAAAGAAACACCAGCACCCAAACCCCGACAGAATTTACTCCAGAGCCTGTACAACAGGAGTAAATCTGGCCTTAATTTTGAAAATGAACTAGATGACTAGTGGATAAACAGGAAGTCCTGCCCACGGAGGTCCTGCCACATGGACCAGGGACACTGGCTTTCTGAGTGACCTTAGGCTGCCCCTTCCCCTCTCTGGGCCTCAGTTTCCCTTCTGCAAAAAGAAGGCCCTGGACTGGGTGCTGTTTAGGGGCAGGTGTGCACCTGTGCCACAAGATGCCTCTCCATGCCCTTTGCCCTCAAGCCGGGGGCTCCAGGCTTCGAGTCTGAGCCCAAGAACCTCCATGATAAAAGGGCCCTTTAAGCTCACTCCAATTTCACAAACAGTAAGGAGATGGGTACCCCATTTCACAGATGAGAGTGCCAAGACTTAGAGAGAGAAAGTGATTTATCCCAGGTCGCACAGCAAATAAGTAAAATGGGGACCTGAACCTGGACCTGCCCCTAATCCTAACCGCCTTTTACCCTGCCCTAAGTGAGGCCACTTCATATGCTGTTGCACGTGACAGCCCCCGTTTCCTCATTCATCCATTTGTGAGGCCTTCACTAAGCGCCCACTTTGAGCAAACCACGTGCTGGGCGCTAGGGAGAGAGTGGGGACACAGCCTAATGTCTGCTTACGCTGGAGGAGCTTGGAGTCAGAGAAAACCAGGAAAGCAGCTCCAACCTGCACTGTTCCTCCCTTCTGCTCTGAGCTCCAGCCACGTTTACAGAGGAGGGTGAACTACAGGGCGCTCGGCAATGAACTGCAATCCAGCTGGCACTTTGCAGTTTACCATGCTTTTCCACGTACCATGTCATTTGGGCCTCATGACAACCCTTGGTCAGCCAGGCATCATCATCACACAAACTTTCTAGATGGGGACTCTGAAGCACAGAGCAGCTACACAACACCAGGCCCGGAACCCAGGTCTGTCTGACCCGGGTCTCCCTCCCACATGCTGTCTTCTACCCTCTCTCACGCACACCAACAGCTCTGGGTACAAAGTCTGCTTTTCTAGTTTTCGAGAGAAACCCTGGAGGGCCAACCTGACCATGATGTTCCTGTTTCTTGGTGTGTGATAGCACGGTGCTATCTCTAGAAGCTGGTATGAGGAGAGACCACGTTCAATCAGGGCCCTGCCCAGCACCAAGTATGTGCTCAGAGAACGTGCTCAGCCCCTTCCCTGTCCCCTCTGGTGGGGGAGGGGGTGGCTCACTGATTAGCAGAGCTGATACCCAGGAGAGCAGGGAAGCATCTCCTGTCCCTGAGTTCTGAATCAACGAGCTCAGCACACTGACCTGTCAGTGTCCTCTGTCCAGGACAGAACTTATTTATTTTCCAAGGAGTGAGGATGAACCCCGGGGATGGCCACCATGCTCTAACAACCCCAATTCACGACTGCCAACGCAATAGCTCCCCTGCAGAGCAACAGCTGCGAAGGAAGGGCCGGGACTCCTGCCCTTGTCCCTTGGGTGGCTGAGAAAGTGGCATTTGAAGGCACAAGCCTCTCTACTCCTGGGACAAGGACAGGGGCGCGATGTCAGTGATTTGTTTAAAGGAGAGCCAACTCAAAGACTTTCAACAGGAAGCACATCCGGAGAGAGAGATCCTAGAAGCTACGACCCCGCCTCCCCCGAGGTTACTGGGGGAGCCTGCGTCATTCCGAAGGCTGCCTGGGCTGAATTCCAGGAGGCCGGCCACAGGAAGGGGTCTAGCAGGAACAAGCGGTAGCCCAGGCCTCTCTGTCCACCAGCTCCTTCTCCCAGGAGCCAAGAGACGGGCTGCTCACCCAGCCTGGGCTTTCCCACGCCCAGCTGGAGACCCAGGGCATCCGCAGCTAGAATCAGCCCTAAAAATACCCTTGTCTACCAAGCCCGCAGCCATCGGGAACCCCGCCCTGTCTGTGTGAGGAGCCCCTGGCCTTCCTCACCCTAACCTGCTGCTTCCCTCCCCACCAGGGATGGCCTTAGATGCAAAATGACCAAAACGTGCCACTGTAAACCCAGAGCCAAGTTCTGACTTCAGAGCCTGAAATCCTGGCATCTTTCCCCCTCCTTGTCCCCAAGGCTGTCCCAGGAGCTCCAGAAGCACTGAGCTGGAGCCAGGGACACTCACCCAGGTAGATATCGCCAAAGGAACCGCTCCCGATCTTCCGGCCCAGGCGGTACTTGTTCCCCACGCGGAGCTCCATGATTCGCTCTGGCTGGGGAGGGAAGCAGAAATGTGGGTTAGAGAAGCCGGGAACTGGGAAGGGGGCCTAGCCCACTGGACCCCACCCTTCCCCCATCAAAAGCCAGACAAAGCCACAGGGAAACTGGAAGACCAGCATTCCCCCTCCTAGTGTCCAGGCAGGGACCTGGCCTTGCTCTGCCTGAGGGCAACCAGGTGTCAGGTGGCCCACGAGCCTCCACATGTGGGCAATGGCTGAGGCAGGCTTAGAAAAGGTGTCAGCAGAGCCAGGCAAAAGGTGGAACTGGAGACAAGGCTCGGGAGGAAACTTTGGGAGACCCTCCTTCAGGGACCCTCCAATAGAAGCCTTTCAGGGGCAGACCAGTCACAATGGTCCAAGACCTTGAAAGGAAAACCAAGGACAAAGGGGGTGATGGGGAGGGGGGATGCAGGGGCTGATCATCCTGGGGGTGCTACCATGGCAACCACCAGCAAGTTCCAACCTCCAGGGATGGGAGGGCAAGTTGAACAAAAGGTTCCTAAGGAGTTCCTCAGCCCCTTTAGGACTCAGAAATTACAGGGTTGCCCCATGCTTCTAGCACCAACAATTGGAAGTCAGGCCTCTACAGCCTGGCCTGGTCTTCCCAGAAGTCAGACCACGCCAGTTTGCAGTGTGCCCTGCAGTACAGGCGCCTCCTTCCACCTTCCAGTCATCCCTGTCTCGCTACCTCACAATACCAAGAACTCACACAGGACGCTCTGTACACATTTCTCTGGGTGGACTGTTTGGGACTGGATTGCTTCAAGAGTATAGGACCCTGAGAAGGATCTCCAAGAGGGCAACTGAACAACTGAGGAGACCAAAACCAAGTTTTTAGCCTCCAGCTTCCTTACTTCCGGTGCCCCAACCTGGGTGCCCAAGCCTGTGGGACATCAGGGTTCCTGTTAGAGACCCCTCTGCTCTGGCCAAAGGCAAAGGTCTGGGTACTCTGGGGTCTTGGCCAGTGGAGGAGGAAACTCGACAGCTGGAAGGCGGCTTTTGCTGTGTGGAGGGATAGGGTACAGGGGACTATGAAATAGGAAGAGGGATGGGGGGACCCCTAAGGTCTCAGAGTGTCTATAAGAGGGCCAACGTAAAAGACTATCGAGAAGGGCCTCTGTCTGCAGACAGGGCACTCAGGCCCAGAGACGCCATTCTCCCTGCCCCCCACCCCCCAGCAGCAAGTTAGTGGCAGTCTCCTCGCCTGGGACCCACACAGGGTTCCTGCCACCCTACCTGGCAGCCTCGAACATTCAGAAACAGAACTTATTTCATGCCAGCGCCAGAAGGCAAAGAGGAAGATGGAAAAGTGGTTGTGCTAGGCACAGAGACTCTGCCCCTTCTCCATGCCAAGTGCTAGCCCCCAAAGCCAGCCCCAGGGGAGATGGGAGAGATGCAGTCCACATGGTCAGGCTGGCGCTCTCCACCTGGCAGAGGCGCCAAGAACTTGGGCCCAGGAAGGACATCCAGCCCCAAAACCTAGTTTCCAGGGACCTGCCACCAGCCCTTCCCCAATGGCCACAAGGAAGCAGCCTCCACCCCAGGGCTGGCCAAACTCTGGGCTCTCAACCAAGGGCCTCTGCCCACACGCCTGGCCGGTCCAAGCTGAGGTGCCACGGCTGCCAGCTGAACACACTCCACATTTGCAGGAAACTCACACGCCACACACTTTACATCCACACCGACCTGTGTACACTCCCAAAAAAGAAAGAAAGCAGGCACACAGCGTGAGCCCTGCAGGGTGGGGGTGGGGGAGGCATGGGTGTGTACACACACACAAACACCCCCCCAGTCTGTGCTCCACCAACGCCAATTCAGAGACCACACATGGCAGCCGGGAAAGCCGCAGGTTCCGAAAGGAACATAAATACACCCGCATCCTATATTACATAAATACCCACGCCGGGTTATATAAATACCCTGTGCCCTCCGTCTGGGTGTCTTACATAAATACCCTGCACATGACCCCCCCCAGCCCCTCCCCACTCACCGGGCTGCCGACTGGGAAGGGGAGAAGAGAGGGTTCGAACCATGGGCGGTGCAGGAAACCACGACTGCTGTCCTGGCCACCCAGACCCCAGGGAGAGCCTAGGCTGTCCCGGCACTGTCCCCCAAAAGCCTCCCAGAGGAAAGGAGAAAGGATTGAGTCAGGGATGGGAGAGGCTCTGCAGCTTTTTGCTGCTTCTCCCGTGGGGGGAGGGCGGATAAACGAAGTATTGAAAAAAAAATGAAGACTCCAGAGTTCCAACTAGACAAACTACCAAGCAACACAGCATATGGACTGTTTTCTTACTCCCTGCCCCATCCTCCCCCCCACAGGGCCCTTGTCACTGGACCATTAAAATAAAAACTGGAGGGACATCCTAGACACGAAGGCTAAGGAGCCCCAACCACAGGCAACTGGGGGTGCAACTTAGACCTTCTGGATCTCTTTCCCTTCTCCCCAGGTCCTTCTCACTTAGGAGGGCTATGCCAAGACGAACATATGCAAGAAAACTAAGGGAAAGTTGGGGAGGGGGCTCACCCCACTTTGAGTTTGGGTGTGGAGAGGAGCTTGGGAATCCTCTCTCTAGAGATACCCAGGCACAGAGTTTTACGTTCCACAGAGACTTGCAAAACATGGATTTCTCACACGCAGAAATGAGAGAATTCCATGATAAATAACCCCCACCCCTTTCTTTCTTTCCACAAAGGAAAACAGAATCGGTGGCTGGGTGACCACACACCCCCTCACCTCGGGGCCCCCAAGCGCCCCCAATCCAACATTCGGGAGTAGCCTTGCCGACCCCCTGGTCTGGAGCACGCAGCCAGGAGAGAAGGGGGGGAGGCGCTGCTGATTGTCCGGTGAAACAGACAGACAGAAGCCCAGGATTTGGCCGAGAAGCTCGAATCGACAGTGGTGGGTGCCCCCAGCACCTCGGTCCCGGGCCCCCTCCCTCGATGTCCCCAAATCACACACCAGGGTGGCCCCTGCAGCCGGCTGGGGCCTTGAAGGGTCCGGCTGGGGGAGGGGAGGCGGCCCGGGCTGGGAGGGGGACCTCCCGACGGCAAGCCTGCAAAATAACAGCCACCCTCCTCCTCCTGCTCGGCCCCAGCCGCGCCTTTGTCCTCGCCGGGCCGAGCGGGCGGCGCCCGGGCTGCCCCCCCCCCGTTCCCTGGTGCGAAGACGCGGGTGTCCGCCCTCCCCTCCCCTCCCCTCCCTTCCCTCTCGCGCAAAAACAAAGAGGCGGAGGGATCCCCGTTTCCCCCCGGGTTTGCGCCCCTCCGAGAGCCCTCGGTCCCCCAATATTTACCCCGCCGGGAGGGTGCCGGTGCCGGGCCGCTGGTCTGGGGGCTGCCGCGGGCGGGGGCGGCCCGCCGGGGCGGATGCCGGAGGATTCGCGGAGCCGCCCGGCGCGCCAGCCTCTCCCCGCA